AAACCATGTTCTTCATTTTTGTGTTTAATAGCTATTATTTTGAAGCCAGAAATGTTGTAGCAGTCAGGTTTTAACTGTGTCTTGCAACAAGTCTGCCAAAAAATAAGGAATTTATCTAAGGATTTAGTTAGTGGTGCAACCGCTCCTTCCCTTCACATGCAGACCTGCCTGGGTGGGTGATGGCATCCAGGAATGAGTGGAATGAAGGAATGCAGCTGGATCCCAAGGCTCCAGGAGACGTCAAGGCTGTCCACAGCCAGGGCATCGGTGGTCACTGGGGATGAGCGCTTGGCCGATTGCAAGGTGATTTTCCCCAGGCATAGAGCGCTCCTGGTTACAGAGGTGGATAAACACCCGTGTCCTCTTGCAGAGTATAGGGAGCCTCACTCAGGAGAGCTGGAGAGAGGTGGTACGGGCAAGGTGTTAGAAAATGGGGTGACCTATCTATCGTGTCACCTTCCCTACAGAAAGAGGTGAAGTGGAGCCCCTGATCCAACTAACCATCATTGCTCGCTCTATTTATTACTTCTTTTGCCCGCCTTTGCCCTGGCTGCTGTAGCCCACATCTCCAAAGCATCACCTTGGGAGGCAAGTCAGGCGGGCCACGAACTCGCTTGCACACCTGTGCCGTGATGCCGGTGGGGAGTGAAGGCGGCTTGCCCCAAGAGCTCCCCCCATTGCGTGCCTTTCTCCGGGCTTTGTGAACTACTTACTGGAGCGGTCGCCCGAAGGGAAATCATTGCCCGGTCATTCCCTGTGTAAGAACGCAGGCCTTGACTCGAGAGGGTCGCTTAAAAACGGGGAGGGAACAAACCTTTCCTTTAGAAGACAGGTGCAGGTTTGTCTTGCTGTTGTACTCTAGTTTTCTCCGTCGTTGATGGTACTCGTGGGTACTTTACTCCTCTGTTAATTTCCAAATACTGATTGTATGTGTGTGTGTTTATTTTAGTGTGCAGTCATTTGTATTTATTGTTTTTATTTAACATTTCTTCCTGCTCTGCTACTGGCAGCAGCATTTGATTTATTTCTGTGATTAATTCTTATCCCTTTGAAATCCACGGAGCCTTTAAAAAAGAAGAAAGAAATCCTAACAATAATAGTAGCATTCAAGCTCCTTTATCTTCATTTTGTTCCAGTGCAGTGGTGGATATTCCAAATTCTCCATGGTAATAGAGAAGTATTTCAGAAGCAGATATCTTGCCAGATCTTTGCATTTTCATTACAATTATTGCTAAGGAGAAAGAGTACTTTATCAGCCATAGGCTTTGTAGCACCAGAACATGGATGTTTAAAGCTGATGCAAATGAGTGTTCTCTTTCCATTGTGAGTTTACTGCTGAAGTAGTGCAATTTTTTTAAGAACCAAAGATCTTTTCTTAGTAAAACTTCACTGGCATCTCTTTGGTAAGCAAGCGGCGCAATGCATCCCTGCGGTTCCTTACAGGCAGAACAGAAAGATCTCCTTTACTCGGCCGATTTTGTTACTCGTGGATTATATGCATTAGCTGTTATCCCATTATATGGTACATTCGTAACTGTTCTGTTCAAGGTCTGAAGTAACCAGGTTGGGACTGCGTATAGTCCCGCTGACACGAAAAGAACGCGGACAAAAAAAAGACCTAAGTGGTTGGCTACTGCGAGGGCAAGTAATTAACCAAAGATTTTTATTTATTTCAATCAGTTCAACATTTCTTTCTCCTTGTATGTTCCACCTGCCCGCCTGCTAGTCTCGGGTGGGCATCTCCCCTCTGTGGTTCCACGTATCGCATCCGGTCTCAGATTCCCCCGCAAACGGGAAAATAATTTGCTGCTCCTGAAGGTTCTGCCTGGTCTTACAGTGGCGCGAGTGAGGGTTTGTTCCTGCGCCGTAGATCTTACAAAAACAAGGGTTGGAAGCTGTGCAGCTTCTCTACGTTAATCAAAACCACGGTCAAGTTGCAGTAACAAGTACATTTCTTTTCCTGTCGTGTTTTTATTTTGCTTCATTCTCTTATTTTAATCCCATAACCAAGATCCTACTTTGGACTCAACTTAGAATTAGTACTTGTAGCCTTAAACCATTTTAACATCCATTTATTCTACTTAGACAATTTATGGGATCAACACGCTACCCTTTCAAAAGAAATAATTTCATGTTTTTAATTCAAGTTTTCTTAGACCAAAAATAGTTCTAGTTGAGTGAAGGGTAGGGCTGAATGCAGCGCTGTCCTTTACTGGACTAATTACTGAATACTTCAAGTTAAGGACATTCATCAAGTAAACCCACGAAAGAAGTGATCTAATTAAAAAAATAATGTTCGAAGAGCTTTCATCTTCACTGAGATTACTTCCATGAATCAGTTGAAAAACATTCACCTTTGTTCACTGACATTTAAGAAATTAAGTAGCTTGGAGCTACTCGTTATGTTGTAGTTACTTAATACTTGCTTAACTACAGGCTGATGCATCTATAATACAGAGGATTAATTCTGGATAAATTACGTATGATAGCTAATCTGATACTTAAGACTTCCTTAATTGCTGAACTAAATTATTATTAACAGTGAAATTAAAAAAATTAATTATAATAATAATTAGCATAGTAAACCCATATCCATTCCCTTTATGAGCATAATTTATTAAAAATCTGTGCACCTAAAACGTTTTGCCTGCAAGGCAAAGGAGGTTTGTGAGACTTGGGCAGACGCTGGGACAAGTATAATAATACAAGGCAGAGTGCATGGAATTGTCTGCTTTTGGCTTAATTTAAGTGCTGGTTTTTGTTAGGCTGCTCTTTTCACCAGGGTTTGATGTGCATTCCTAGCTGCATAAGAATATGCACGTTGGTGGGAAGAAGAAGATAATAAACTGTTTCGTGCAATTGTGAGAGTTGAACCTGGATGTGAACATTGCAGTCGGGTCTGTATGTCCTTGTATCAGCTTAATATATGGAATAATACATAAGTAAAGGAAAGGGAATTGTTTCGCTCCTTACAGGCTTCGTACACGTGATTTTTCATGTTGACCGATTATTTTTTGAGACATCTTTATGTAGATAAACATTTCAATCCAAATCGTAGTATCCGCTGTGGAAGATCTTACACATAGCAGCACACGTTATGTATTACGTAGAGGACAGCCAAGAAATGGATGTAATCATCCCATCGTCACCTTTGAGAGACCTGTATGGCTCTGCTGCTGGAGCTTATGTTGCTACTATGCTCCTGACGAGGATGACATCTCTCTCCACGGATAACGTACTGGTAACTCTTGAAGGTATTGCTGTCTATTCCTTATAAAGTTATCCTGATAGCTTTCTGTCGTAGCCCGGGAAAATTAACAAAGCAGCAGAAAAAGGCTCCCGTAGGGAAGGATAAACTTCTGGTTAAGGTCTACAGCACTGGGCATCAATCCCAACCCGGACGCTAAGGAGGTTACTCAGTCTGTGCCATGACAGCTCACCCAAAATGTGTCGGAAATGTTAGTCACCTGTTAGTTTAAATTAATGAACTTTACAAATTTTGTATTTGGCAGGTTTGGGTAGATGTTGCTAATTTTTTCCCGGTAGTTTGAGAGTCACATAGAAGCACGCCCCATGGGGCAGTTATCCATACCAGTACATGAAACCTCTGCCTCTGCCCCGGTAGCTGGGGCCGGTCCCTGGAGGTCAGAGAGCCCCAGGTGGTGCCCATGGTCGTGTCTGAAGGCAGTTTTCTGCCCCGCTGACTCTTAAATTGCTTTTCCCTGGTCCTCCTTAGTGCTTGAGCCCACCCTTTTCACAAATCCTGCCCTGCTGGTTCTCCGCTTTATTCACAGGCGCTCTTGGCAGTAGGAAAACTAACAGTTCTTATTAATTTCAATTCTTAATTTTGATTGATTCCAGTTTTTATTACTTTTAACCGAGGGGAATATTGGTACTAAAGGGTCTCTGGAGATGAGAACTCTGCCAGTTGGATACGGTGCTGCTTTGCTGCTTGGTGTAGTTAAAGAGCTCGCAGCACTGCAATGTAATCTCAAAAAGGAAAGCGTTGGTGGGGTCAGTCTGTTTGTGCCATGCTACTTCTGAAGCGTAACGAAGACTTTTGAATAAACAAACTAAATCGTTGCTGCCTTCTAGATCTTCCTATTCAGTACTGAAAGCTACCTGCTTGGCGCTGATGCGGATTGCTGACTTCTCAATCTGTTAAATCCATATTACAGGATGCTGTGCTATTACTAGAGGTTGTTTATGACAGGTGGCTCCTACACCAAAACGATTATAAACTGGTGTAAAAAACAGCAAACAAAACCAAAAGTCAGTAACATTGATCAATGAGAACAGGGTAAGTGCCATTGACTGTAATGCCAGGGCTCTGTATCGCCGGGCGCTTAGACACCTTTTCAGAAGAAATCTTCAAGAAAACTGTAATCCTATGGTAGTGCTCACAGAGGTTTTTTTGTATTTTTTTCCTGCAGGAGTGTGGTGGTGTTTAGTCGAAAGCAAAATGTTATTTTCCAGATGATTTTTCTGAAGGGGGATGTTTAGTTAGAGTAGGACACGGTATTTGTGGGTCCGCAGCAGGTAGGGTTAAGTCCTGAGTTAAGACTGGGTAGAGGTAAGTCCGAAACGGTGTGGAACAACAGATGAAAGTATGAAAGTATACGTAGGTATGTTCACGCCATGCTGAATGCAACGAGATGGGTGACGGTGAAGTTCGCTCTCGCAGCGAAGGGCTGTAACTGCATCAGCTTCTGCACATCTAGAGCATCAGTCTAGTGGGATCTTAGGTGTGCTTCAGGATCAGCAGGAGCTGCCCATCTTCTCTTCTGCACTACCGGAATTCAGGTATGCAAACAGGTATCTCCTGTAGCGACACACCTTTATTTTGCTATGTAGGGTTTTTTCCAAGGTAGAAAAGTTTGTTTGCTTCAGTTAACAAACAAACAAACAAAAAAACCCCAAAACAAAAAAAACCCACAACCAACCAAAAAACACATCAAAAAAACCCTAACTGAGAACCAATGGTAAAAATATTTTACTAGAAGCATTTAGAAAGATTTGAACGTAAAAAACCGAAGGAAGATGTGGTAGTTCAGATTCCAAAAGGTGGTGCCCTTGAGAAAAATCCTCGCTACGTGAACCAAGAGCGCTGCAGGGTGTCGTACTGGGAGGAACACCAAGGTTTAGGCACGGAGCATCTGGTAAAACTCTGGAGGCAAAACCGAGTCGGAGATGATGCCTGCCTGGTAGTAGTGGTGGTGCCTCAGGTGAATGAATATATTAGGTGAGCTGTGATTCACGTAACCTTCTGGTTAATGACAAAAGACGTCATGTAGATGTAACTTCTTTTCCGTGATTTGTCAGTGTCTACCTGTGCCCCGGAACTGCTGATATGGATAAAGAGCGTTTCCTAAGGAAACTTGTTAGGTATTTGTCCTCATCTCCGCGTTTCATTTCACGTAACCTTCTGGTTAATGACAAAAGACGTCATGTAGATGTAACTTCTTTTCCGTGATTTGTCAGTGTCTACCTGTGCCCCGGAACTGCTGATATGGATAAAGAGCGTTTCCTAAGGAAACTGTCCTCATCTCTGCGTTTCATTACATGTGGGGGTTAACTTCAAATTAGTATTTCATATATTTCGTTTAAAGTTCGTCTTAAACTGTCACAAATAAAAGCAAGTGCGCGGTTGTCCTCGTAGTATAATGTTTAAAAGTTTTGGAGGTTTTTTGGTCTTACATGAGCTGTATCTTCCTGTTTTCAGAGACATAGTTCAGTTGTGTTCTTGTGAGCTGCATGGGATTACTCATTTCTTAGAGGCAATCAAGTTTTTCTTATTTAACTTGCTGTCGACAAGTGGGTTTTTTCAAAAGTAATGCTCTTAGAAGCTTATTTGACTTTTGAGGGTTATTCACTTTGTTAGCCCAAACACTAAAACCTTGTGTCCTTGGGTTCTGATTAGTGACACTTTAATAAAGTCATTTGAAGTTCAGTAGACTGAATTTTCCACCTTTTCTAATGTTTCTATGGTCACAGGGAAGCGACCTGTATTCAATCTTTTAAATGCAAATCTTCTTTTAAAAGTTACTGTGCAATTTTGTGTATCGGACTTCTTCATGGGGTTACAAAAAGTGCCTTTTTTTTTTTTAAAAAAAAACAAACAGCTACAGCAGTGTCTTTTCCTTTTCTGTTTTCCTCCTCTCTTTCTTTCTAGTGATGTGACAGCAATTGACTAAACTCGGGTCTTTTGGGATAACAAAAGATTGAGAAAAATCGTAAAGGTTTTTATTGCTGCGCTTTTTCTTTTTTTTTTTTTTGGCTGGGCCAAGGCAGACAAAGGCCTTTCCACTTGATTAGATAATAAGGCTAACGTGGGCTTTGAGTGGAAAAATATCTTTGCATTCTGCTCTTCTCTTTCCTCCAACCAAAAATAAGAAAGGCGGGGAGGGGGGGGGAGGAGAAAACTATGCCTAATCGGCCACAATTAAATCTTTCATGGTGAACTCACTTTGGAGGAATTAATGCATTTTGTATTGCCTAACAACTCGAGTGAACATTAACAACACGTGAGAACTGAGGGGAAGAAAAATTATGGCTGGCTTTTTTTTTTTTTTTTTTTCTTCCCCCTTTCTTTTTTGGTTCTCAAGGAACAGGGAAGGGCAGGTCATTGACTTGATTTTCATGGGAAGATTGACTCCGGAGCGCTCGCATATCCAGGAGCGGAGTGAGGGGGTATTGACAGCTGGGGTTTGGGGAGGGGAGTGTGCGGGAGCAGTGATTGCACTGCGGCTTGTTGGGGGAAAACAAGGGACGATGGAGAACAAAGCCCGGAGAGGGAACAGTAGCTGCAGTGTCCTGGGGTCGAGGGGCTGCTTCTCCTCAGTGTGGTGGGTACGTGTTGCTCTTGGACTCGAGCGGTTATGGTAGAGAAATTTTGGTATAATGAAAGGGGCTGCCCTGAAGTGAGAAATAGTTTGCTCTTGATGAAGCTGGAGAAGTTGCACCGTGCTCCTCCGTGCGTGCCGTGAAAGGGTACGGGAGATGCTCTTTCAGCCCTTTCCTCCTCGCCACTGAAGAACAGGTTGTGCAAAAGAAATTTGGGAATCCAGATGTGCTTTCCCAAGATAGCCTGTAGGACTTGTTAGGAAAAGAACAGTAACTAAAGGTGTGTTTAACTATTATTTTAAAGATTTCTTTCTTCTGACACCTATTTTGTTTCATATTTGGTGATTAAAAATAATCTGGATGCTGAGGTGTGCTCACATGAATACATCAGTCCACTTGTTTCCCCGTCACCCACGTGGGTCCAGGGCTTTGTCTGACGTAGGCATCCAGACAGACCCTGGGAACGCGGATATTCGTACGGTCTTCTGACCCCTTCTCCTCCCAGGGAAACGTGCACGCCTCGTCCTCTGCTCATTGTGCAACTCTACTGCCTCTGCCACGGGCGTCCCAGACCTCCTCCTCGTTCCTCCTCGTTCCTCCTCGTTCCTCCTCGTTCCTCCTCGTTCCTCCTCGTTCCTCCTCGTTCCTCCTCGTTCCTCCTCGTTCCTCCGCTCATGTGTGCTCATTCCCACAGTGGTCACGGCCCTGCCTGCAAGACCTTGGCTCCTCCCTTGTCTCCTTTTACCCGATGAATCGCTTGTCTCTCTCGTCCCTCCCTCTACCTCTGCCATCGTTTCCCATTCCCAGCAGCCCTACCCGCAGCCAGGTTTCCTTCGAACGCAGTGCGTTTTCCAACTTCTTTCCCAGGAAGGTTTTGGTCCCTTTAGAGCATCACATGCAGGATACAAGATTGTTATTCAAAGTAAATATTTTTTAATTTTTTTTTTCCTTTGAGAAGCTGGCACTTAAAGTGAAGGTGCAATACATTAGAGCCTAATCTCGTGAGCTATTAAAATACCTTAAACCAAACAAAAAAATGCAAATTGTATGTGGTTTTTCAGTAAAGAAAACATGGCAAGAGCCAAACCAAACAAGTTTGGCCCTTAAATGCTGCACGAGAGAAGGCTCTTTGCTAGTCCTTAAGGCTTTTACCTCTCATCTGGGCTCCAAAAGGTGGATGTACCCCTCGTAGCAGCCAAGCGAACCCCTCTCCTCGCTCAGGGTCCCACGCCAGGTTGTGTAGCCTAGTCCTGAAGGTTTCACCACCGCTTGCAGAAAAATCACCACCCAAAAGCTCGGAACCATGTTGTTTTTTTTTTTTTTAAAGTACTTAGCCAGGTTTTGGCAGCAAAAGCCTTGACTACTACATCAGAAGTTTCTTCAGTTTGCTCAGCTCCTTCAGGTCGTTTAGAACTTGGAAATCGATTGGAAGCTGGAAAAACATGGAGAAAGCATACTTGCCGTAGCCAAAAGTAATGACGAACCTGTGAGAGCATGAGATCTGCTAACTGTGGGCTTCTGGCGAGCGGGGTGACGAGGTGACAGCTGGGTCTTCCCTTCCAGTCCCTGAGGCCAGAGGAAAGGTACCAAGGTAGCCAGCTCACTGCCCTCTGGTAGAAGCTTTTGTCTGAGTAGCAAACCCGTAACTGGTTTTTTTTTTTTTTAAATGTTTCTCTGTATTTATCAGACCCTTTCTTACCGTGCATTGTGGGATTACCACAGTTTCAGTGGCTGTGACTTCATAGGTGACAACAAAAGTCAAGTACATCTTCATAGTTTCATCTTATAGCCAAATTTTCATTAATTCTTTTGAATTGCCCGTAGTGGGCTTGTGAATATATATCAAGATATGCAAACTTATGAAAACTGTTTGGTTTATTTAGGTATCTATATGGTCTTCCTCTGGGATGTGCTACCTCATTTTTCTCTCATTGCAATACTTAGTACTGGTTTAGGTTTTTTACTTGTGTTTTTCATGAATTGCTTAGCTGGTCCTGTATAGGTACTTTTTTTGAAATCTTTTTTTAAAACTTCTGAAATTCATCAGCTGAATTTTCCCTTTTAGAAAGCTGAAGTTACCGTTCACGCATGTAGCTCTTTACACAGTTGCTCTGAATTTGAACTGTTCTCTGCAATGGCACATAACAGCTCTCCAAAGCAAAGCCCCCAGTTTTTGATGACTGAGAGCAAACCGCCCCACACTCCCCAGCATCCAAAAAACCAAAGTGGCTAAGTTGTTGTGTGTGTGTGGGGGGTTTTGGTTGGGGTTTTTTTTTGTTGTTTTGTTTTGTTTTGTTTTTTTACCTCTGGCTTTTATCTGAATCCCTGCTTTGCTTGAGCTGTAGAAGTCAAATGAGCAGAAGCAATGCAGTAGCTGATGTGAGATGCGTGTGGGAAGAACGGCAGCTGAAAGATGGGCTTTCTGAAGTTCCTGCCTTCCCCAAGAGACCGTGGGGAGGTTATTCTTCCTGACTGCATCGCTGAAGCAAAATAATTGCCTTCAGGATGGCCCTGTGGCAAAACACTTGTTCCAGATTATCTTTGTTTTAATAGAGGTTAAAAAAAAAAAAAAAGCAGAGGTAGGGAATTGGTTTGGATACATTTTAGTGCGTTATGGATAATTTAATAATTGTGAATGGCATCATTAAAATCAAACAGAAACGTGGATTCCTAAACACGATGGCTTTAACTAACATGCCATATTTCACGCAGCGGCAGTTGTGAGCGCTGGAATGTAGCCGTGCTTCATGAGCCCCTCAGTCCCGATGGAAATGGGGGGGTGTCTACGCTTTTCCGCGGTGGGGGCGAAATCATGTGAATGACGGAGGCGGATCAGGCGTTGGGGGGTCTTGGTGCACTGGCAGCTCCAGGCAACCCGGCGACTTCAGCCCGCCCGAGGTGCCTCTGCTGGGTATCTCCCAGGGCTCCGCTGGGAGCAAGCCCGCGTCCCGTGGAGGCACGTTGCGCTCTCCCTAGCACCCGCCGGATCAAACGCTGTCCTCAGCTCGGACCCGTGGTGCCTTAATCGATTAGTCCTGGGAAGTGCTTCCAACTGTAATTGGTCTGATCTGTAATCTTATCACCTCCGACAGCAGATTATCTGGTTTTAGCTGATTTGCGGGCCGGCAACCTGCATGTCCCAGCAAGTCGGATGCTGTCAGGTCGCTGCTGCTTGC